TGTACGTGGGTGAGGCGGAGGAAATCTGACCTTTGTTAATGAATGCAGATATGATTTCGTTCGGATTTTTAACCCCGCAGGGTTAGTCACTCTGTCCTCGATGAGAGTGCGTCATCGAGGACGCACTGCCTCTGGGGGTCCTCAATCTTGTCCCCCAGGATGCGAACCACACCAGTCGACTAACACCCAGGTACCTACTCGCAGCTAGGTGAACAGGACAACAGGTGTAAGGAAACGCGTCGAAATGTTTCTACCCCACCGGGAATCGAACCCGGGCCCTCCGTCAAATACGCTGCCGCATAAACAGTACCAACAACACCTGTATTTACATCATAACGAGGCCCAGTACGACGTGCAGTGGCCCGTGACTAGTTTAGGTATTCGTGAATTATTATTATAATCAAGGGGGAAGCGCTAAACCCGGAGGATTATACAGCGCCTGGGGGGGGATGTGGAAGGCATTCAGGCTTAATTCGGGGAACTGGAGCACAGATCCAATTCCCTAAATCAAGAGCCCCTCACCAACATGTATTCGTGAAAAAAGTCAGAAACTGAAGACGCTGTCTTGAATTTACGTTCGTACATGCTACGAATACCATTACCAAAACTATCTAGCGCCGCCTTGTCACGTGTTCTTTCCGTCTACGTAAACTTAAGCCTACCATATACTCTCTGTAGACCTGAGACTATTATAGTAAAAAAAAAAAGCGCTAAACCTACGAGGGTCATACAGCTGTAGACCTGAGGAAACTTAGTCTCAAGGTGAAACGTTGTCGTGCTAAAAATTAAGTTCTGCTACAGCGTCTCTATCTGAAGACTAACTATCAGCGCTAAATCCGAAGAGGTCATACGGTGCCTGGAAATGAGATAATCAGATGTAATTCCATGGATAATCAGATGTAATTGAGATAATCAGGTGTAATTCCATGGATTAGGAACCCTTTACTGGATTCAAGGAATCTCCTACCCACCATTTCCCTAGAAATGAGGAGGCTGGTTACTGGCCTACAACAGGTGAGGACATAATTTCGCTGCGCCTCTATACCTGTGCGTCAGTTATTATAATCAAAATGAAGCGCTAAACCTGTCCATCAAGGAACCAGCTTTTTCCCTCTGTAACTACAATCCTTCGTTAATTACTATTATGGGGAGCGCTAAACCCGTAGAAATTATACAGCGCCTGTGGGGGAGGGAGGGGGATGGAAGGCATTCAAGGCTTAATCCAGGAAACTGGTGCACAGATCCAGTTCCCTAGATCAAGAGCTCCTCACCAGCATCAAGGAATCTCCCTAGAGGGGCATCCTTCGTTTATAGATATTTTTTAGCAACATGAGCCCAAAAAACACTATCCATCAATCCTAAACATTTTCTGCCTTCAGAAAAGATAGAATCACACGGGTGATGTGGATGAAGAGAGAAACACAAAGTTAAACGTATGATAGCAGTGAAAGAAAGAACATATCTTTAAAACCGCAACAATAACATGAGCTGCTGACAAACGTATCATCCACTAATCATCACATTCCAGCAATTTTACTAGATTAATTTTAAACGAAATTTCAGGGTCTGAGAAAAAATGTTAATTGATGGATTTAAGTGGGAAAACAACATCCTAGCGTGAATTATTTTCTGGGCGGTAATTAATCATCACATCACGGACACCAAAATTCAATTCAAGAGTTTCACTGATGGTTTGCAGACGCTTACACACGTTGTAATTACACTAAATTTTGTTAAATTAGGCCTAACGGTCTCCGGAAGCAAACTACCTTATTTAAAAAAAGAAAAAACCAGAAGGACCTATACTGGAAATTTGACGGATTACATAAAAATAGTCTTCCTGTTTTGGGAAGCTTTCCAGTGTTGAGAAAAATAATATCGTATATCATAGTGTGAATTTTTGAAACTGATTTATTTCAGGATTCTGTAACAAGACAATCGTATAATTTCGTCCTGCAAAAAGAAAAAAAAATGGTCTTACAATCGACTGGTTTTACCTCAAAATGATCTTAAATAAATGATGTCATAAAATCAACGTTCTAGCACATAAGTACTGATATTGCAAAAATGGTTTGGTTGTAAAAAGTAACACAGATCATAAAAAGCAATGGTCATAAGAAAGGAGCGGTTTCAGAAGAAATTATTATTATTATCATCAAAGAGAAGCGCTAAACCACAAGGGCTATACAGCGCTACTTCAGAAGAAAAAGGAATTGATCCAACAGCAATAAGCAATTTCGGCCATTAATGATAGTTTGAATTATACAACATTGGCTTTACATTAGAATTATTTACTATGTAAATAGTGAAAGACGTAACCTCGACAAAACCCACTTAATCTAACTTAAATTAACCTAATGTTTACCTGGAGTTTACCTGGGGAGGGTTCTGGGGGGTCAACGCCCCCGCGGCCCGATTTGTGACCAGGCCGTCATGGTGGATCAAGGCCTGATCAACCAGGCTGTTACTGTTGGTCGCACGCAAACCGACGTACGAACCACAGCCCGGCTTGTCAGGTACTGACTTTAGGTGCCTGCCCAGTGCCTGCTTGAAGACAGCCAGGGGACTATTGGTAATCCCCCTTATGTATGCTGGGAGGCAGTTGAACAGTCTTGGGCCCCTGACACTTATTCCGTTAACTCTTATCATGCTAGTGGCACCCCTGCTTATCATTGCGGGGATGTTGCATCGTCTGCAGAGTCTTGCTTTCATAGGGAGTGATTTTCGTGAACAAGTTTGGTATTAACCCCTCTAGGATTTTCCAGTTGTAGATGATCATGTATTTCTCCCGCCTGAACTTATTCTGCTATCGGTAGATACGCGTCCGTACGTTCGGCTAACGTGTGACGTGACTGAGTATTTAGCAAAGAGTGACTCAGACGTATTCAGTATTTAGCTCTAAGTGGTTCAGACGTATACAGTAATTAGCACTAAGTGGCTCAGACGTATTCAGTATTTAGCACTAAGTGGCTCAGACGTATTCAGTATTTAGCACTAAGTGTCTCAGACGTATTCAGTATTTAGCACTAAGTGGCTCAGACGTATTCAGTATTTAGCACTAAGTGGCTCAGACGTATTCAGTATTTAGCACTAAGTGGCTCAGACGTATTCAGTATTTAGCACTAAGTGGCTCAGACGTATACAGTATTTAGCACTAAGTGGCTCAAACGTATTCAGTATTTAGCACTAAGTGGCTCAGACGTATTCAGTATTTAGCACTAAGTGGCTCAGACGTATTCAGTATTTAGCACTAAGTGGCTCAGACGTATACAGTATTTAGCACTAAGTGGCTCAGACGTATTCAGTATTTAGCACTAAGTGGCTCATTATTATTATTATTATAATCAAGGGGAAGCGCTAAACCGGAGGATTATACAGCGTGGGGGGGGGATTGAAGGCATTCAGCTTAATTCGGGGAACTAGAGAGCACAGATCCAATTTCCTAAATCAAGAGCCCCTCACCAACATCAAGGAACCTTCCTTGAGGGGTCTAAGTGGCTCAGACGTATTCAGTATTTAGCACTAAGTGGCTCAGGCGTATATAGTATTTAGCACTAAGTGGCTCAGACGTATATAGTATTTAGCACTAAGTGGCTCAGACGTTTACAGTATTTAGCACTAAGTGGCTCAGACGTATACAGTATTTAGCACTAAGTGGCTCAGACGTTTACAGTATTTAGCACTAAGTGGCTCAGACGTATATAGTATTTAGCACTAAGTGGCTCAGACGTTAAACAGTATTTTGCACTAAGTGGCTCAGACGTTTACAGTATTTAGCACTAAGTGGCTCAGACGTATATAATATTTAACACTAAGTGGCTCAGACGTATTCAGTATTTAGCACTAAGTGGCTCAGACGTATACAGTACTTAGCACTAAGTGGCTCAGACGTATACAGTACTTAGCACTAAGTGGCTCAGACGTATACAGTACTTAGCACTAAGTGGCTCAGACTTTATACAGTATTAGCACTAAGTGGCTCAGACGTATACAGTACTTAGCACTAAGTGGCTCAGACGTATACAGTATTTATCACTAAGTGGCTCAGACGTATACAGTATTTAGCACTAAGTGGCTCACACGTATACAGTATTTAGCACTAAGTGGCTCAGACGTATACAGTATTTAGCACTAAGTGGCTCACACGTATACAGTATTTAGCACTAAGTGGCTCAGACGTATACAGTACTTAGCACTAAGTGGCTCAGACGTATTGCAGGATCAAATTAGGAGTATAATATAGTATAATATTGCTAATGTGTCCCAGAGTAACATTTTGCACATGAAATACTTAGGCCGCTGAGTAGTAATCGTAAACTATATGACAAAAAAAATCCAATCTTTATAAGAATTTATGGCTTTATGAAAAGTTTGGTCTCGTAAAAAAAATTCACAAAATTGCATTGGAATTACTAAGAACAGTAATTTAAAAAATCGTATTACGGAAAATAACACTGGTATTTAAAAAAAAATGCAATCTTCTTACAAAAAAAAAAAGAAACTAATTTAAAAATAATGATCTTCCAAAAAAAAGAAGCATTGGACTTACAAAAATACATTGATCTTTCCAAAATGCAGGAATTTAAAAAAAATACGCTGCCAAAAGAAGAGTGATCTTACAAAAACGATTGGGGTTCAAAAAGAAAAAAGCTTAAAAAAAATCGTTAAATGTCAAAAACCTTCAATTCAGTAAAATTTCCAGAGAGGTGGAATTACAGGAGAGAGAAGGGTTGAAGAGGCACTGAGTTTTCATCCGAGGAATAGGAGTGTAGCTCTGATTTCTTGGACCTCTCTACATGTTAAACGTTAAAAAATAAAACATGTGTTGGACTGAATGTCAAATTTATATAGGTTCTTCAAATTACATTAAAATCAGTTCATATATGACAGTGATTAACCTATGAACACAAAACACTGATATTGTAGAAATGCTTATAAAACAGCCATATATATATATATATATATATATATATATATATATATATATATATATAATATATATATATATATATAATATCATGACTCGGAAAACTGCAATAACACGATTGGATATACTAGTATTTGCACACTGGCTTGCCATAGGTTCGAGCCCCACCCGTTCTTTGAATTATATATGTCACGCCGAATAAGCCGAATTGGCGAGTTTGTTCTGAAAAAAAGGGTTATTTTTTGCCGAATAAGTAAAATGAATTATTTTTTTACACAATAAATCTGAGTTTTTTAATGTTTCAAGTATTTAAAAAAAAATATATGAAGAAATCTGTAATAATAGTGTGAACATGACGAAAAAAAATATAGCAATGATTTTAATTCATATTAAATAAATTTATACTGATATATCAAATATTAAGTAGAATTAGGCTAAAATATATAATGTTGGATTAGGTTAGGTTTCTAAGTTAGGTTTTGTTCAAGAACTAAGATAAATTTACAGTATTTTCAATAAAAAAATATGCCCACAAATCCATTAAAGAAAATTTTGAAGTTCAATTTCTATGGTAATTCTGCCTAAGTGACCAATTCGGCTTAGATATATACTACTTTGGTATTGCTTCCATTACTATTCCCACAGCTAGACAAACACAGGGAAACACTGAACTTAATACCCAGGATTGGATTACACCGCTAGGAGCACTCTATCAGATTGGCTTTGCATTTCACTCAGAGGCGTCCATACCACTTAATAATCACCATATTGAGCGAGTCACTAAATCCTCTCGAGCAACAGTGGAAGTCCCTGAGGATTCTGCTGAGGAAGATTCAAATTGGCCCTAACGATGACTGGGTATGCATTTCTTGAAGGAGCAGTTAGGTTTATTATATTCTTGCGGAAGCGCCAAACCCGGTAGCGGTACATGCAGTGCTTGAGGAATGGGAAGTAATCAGTTAGATCTAGGGGAAGAATAGCACCAGTTTTTTGAGTCAGTTACCGTTCATCGATGTCAAATTTCACCCTTCATGAAGGAAAAAGCTGCCGTAAAGTATTTAAAATCATGCTAAGCGCTACATTGATGGTTTCGAAAAATAGGTGATAATTTTTTCTTCGCCAAAGCCTCAGGCTACAATGTAATTTTAGGTTACATGACTAACTCTAAATTTAAATATTTCTTTATAAAAGTAGCGGATAAAGTAAACCGAAAGTGAGGAACCTCTTGACCACTTTGACCAGACGGCGCTACTTTCTGACAACCCTACAGCAGCTAGATCAACACAAACCAAAATACGATGCCCGAAAATAAGACAATTGGTGATGCAGTTATAAGGGAATATGACAGTTTTCTTGGAGTTTATTAGGAAAGAGAAATATTAGGAAAGACAGGAGATAACAGAAAATTTTCATCAGATTTACCCAGAAGACACGTAACAATTTGTACCAAACGAAAGAGATGAGCCTATTAAGGTTAAGGGGCTAGGCCATTATCAATGGTCTTGTTCCCGTAAGTGTAAACAAAGCTACGTACTGTTATGCACGCACAGACAGACAGACACACACACACACACACACACACACACACACACACACACACACACACACACACACACACACAATGGAAAAAGAGCAACGATATGCAATGAGATTAGTCCCAGAGCTTAGACGAATGAACTGAGAGACAAACAAAAAAATGAACCTGACGATATAGAAGAAAAAAGTAAGACATGACATTGACATGCAAAAGGCTCAGAGTCCTTGATAACATGCACAGGGATAATCTGGTCGAGAGGTGAGAAACAGGTTCACCAGGGAGCAGCTGGAAGTTAAAGAAACACATGAGTTGAAGGATGACAGGAAATATTTCTTCAGTTAAAATGGTGAACTGTAAATGGAATGACCTTGACGAAGAAATATTGGAAACATATTGGTTCAGGAATTGAAATGATAGGGTTCACGAGGTTAAAAGGGAGTAAATCCGGCAAGTGTGTTGAGGCAAGGCCGGCAGCTGAGACTCAACCCCTACAACCACAAATAGGCAGGCACATACTCAGAAAGACACACACACGCGTTCGCGCGCGGCGCAACAAGACCAGTCCCGGAGCTAAGGGGCATGTCCTACGAGGAGAGGTTAAGGGAAATCGACCTGACGACACTGGAAGACAGGAGAGGTAGGGGGGATATGATAACGACATATAAAATACTGAGAGGAATCGACAAGGTGGACACAGACAGGATGTTCCAGAGATGGGACACAGCAACAAGGGGTCACAGTTGGAAGTTGAAGACTCAGATGAATCACTGGGATGTTAGAAAGTATTTCTTCAGCCACAGAGTTGTCAGGAAGTGAAATAGTCTGGGAAGTGATGTAGTGAAGGCAGGATCCATATATAGCTTTAAGAAGAGATATGATAAAGCTCATGGAGCAGGAAGAGTGACCTAATAGCGACCAGTGAAGAGGCGGGGCCAGGAGCTATGACTCGACCCCTGCAACCACAATTAAGTGAGTACAATCTTTGTAGCCCTAAGGTGAGTAAGGAGGGGGACTAGAATCTGGAGCATAAGCTGGTGGTGGCTGATACTCCTGAGGTATAGCACTCTCAGGCAGACCTGACTTTCCAGATACAACTTCAGGTCGGTAGTCAATCAACAAGTTACTTGGATCGGCAGCTGCTTGAGGAGTCGATGGATAAGCGGTTGGGTGGCATGAAAAGGCGGCTGGCTGACTTGGATAGGTGGTTGGCTGGCTAGGATATGCGGATGGTTGTCTTGGATAGCTGGTTGGCTGGCTAGGATAAGCGGATGGTTGGCTTGGATTAGTGGCTAGTTGGCTTGGATAGGTTGTTGGATGGCCTGGGAAGGTATCTGTTTGTCCCGGATATGTTGGCGGCTGGCTGGAAGGTAAGTTTATAACTCTACCCCTGTTGTTTACATTATGATTTAAGAAATTCTTGCAATTCCTGCGCTCGTAGACCCGCAGAGCAAAGAACGCTATAATAAGCAATACTGCAAGCAGAAAGACAATATATTAATATACAATTACAGCGTTATTATATTTTAATATACAGAGTAAAGGGACTTCTCTTTAAAAATAGCATAAGTGCAGACTTTAAAACAGGAATTAGTCAAAACTAGATTTGCAGATTTTTGCCCCTTTGGAATGGTCATTAGACAAACTGCCACATCTAGTGCAGGAAAAGAATCAAATCCAATTTGACACGTTCTTAAAAGTCAGGTGGGAAACCCCTTTCTGAGCCTGCTTTTGTCATCCCATATTACACAGACCTCATGGATTATGTTACGTGAGGGGAGCTAATAATATGGTTTTAATGTTTATAATTGTCGGTAATGCCTACAAGGCATTATTGACAATTATAAACAATTAACAATCAACAATTAATTAAAACCCTTTACCGGGCAAGTAACACTGTGCTGATTCATTTTAAGGTCATTTTGGAGGCTTTCAAAGGCTCATGGAATTTTTGACAGCCTCTACCCAACAGGAAAGAAGAATAAAGATGCGAAACAGTGTCGTTCCAGGCCCTGGAGAGTAGGTCACAGTTGCTAGTTAGTAGTAAAAATGACTCTTTAGACTCACATTCAAACAGTTAAAACAAAAAAAAATGAATGCTACAGCAAAAGTGCGCCAAACTATAATATACAAAGACATCGAAATTCCTCCAATATAAAGTTCCTTGCCCGGTAAAAGGCAGAGATCTGTCAATATTAAAAACAAAAGTTGCAAAAGTTTAGTTTTTCTGAACCACTTACCGCCTACTGTAAGAAACACGCTGCCAACCACTTGCCCTCGGTTCACGCTTTGCTCGAAATCTGCCCAGAAGTGGGGCTTCCGCATGGATACAGCAAGAGTCATGGTGCCAGAGAGCATGAAGAACACACCGAATCCTCCCAGACATATCACCATCGGCGAGCCCAGTGTTATTCCACATATCTGTAAGAATTGACGCTGAGTACAACTTGGCACTTTCAAATTCAAAGTTTATTCTCTATAAGGATTACAAAGCTGAGCTTACAGAATTTGGTTATTGTGTGGTTTATATGTAGTAAAATAATGATTACAGAGTGTAACACTAGAACACTTAGCATGGCTAGGCATTTGGTTGTTTCTCGCTTAGCAGACAGAGGATCGAACTCCTCCGCTTCGTGAATGCTTACACGGTTTCAAGGCTTCTCGTAAACTACAAAATGGATTTACAGACTTTCTTGGTAAACAGTCCTGAAAGTCTTAAAGGGAGAAAATAAGTATATTAAATCTTTCTTATTCCCTATATTAAACATTATTTACTGATTTTAATAAAAAAAATAAGAATAGACTTTGAAGAAATCAAAATTTCAATCACTCACTAAAGAAGGGATAACTGCAAGTTAAAATGTAAATAATGACATTAGAAAGTTCACAGTGTACTCAGACACCTGGTTAAATATTGCAGTAAAAATAAACAAAGACATCTCTATGAAAAGATTTTAGGATGACTGTGATCAATATATGATGGGAACATATTGCCAAACCTTACATCTGTTTCCCTGTTCACCTAGCAGTAAATAGGTCTCTAGGGATTAGCCTTGAAATGAGTTGGGGAGGATAACAGTTCTTAGACACTGTATTAAAGTGTAAAGAGAAAAACATACTAACAGATATTTTCGCTCCTATTTTGCTGTTCTAAAACCTTCAGTGGTTCTGCGTCAGCTCTCACGTAAGCTCCATTATGCAGACAGAAAGCACAATAAAAACACAAGAGCCCACTGGCACACTCTGCAGTCCGAAAAAAATACAGTTTACCTGGCTGAGCTGGTACCTGGCACTCTTCATGCTCTGAAGAAATAAAATTAATCAAGCTGAAGCTGGAACCTGGCACTCTTCATGCTCTGAAGAAATAAAATTAATCAAGCTGAAGCTGGAACCTGGCACACTACACTTTGATGGAACACTACCAGGCTGAAATTAGTACCCAGCACTCTACACGCTGAAGAAACACAGTTTGTCAGGCTGAATAGTCCCTCCAGTTACTCTCTCTACTTCCAGGAAAACTGTTTTCCAAGCTGAAACTAAAGCCATGGAAAGCAAGGCAAAGCTAACAGCTGAAGACAAACACTATAAGAGTTAATTTCAGTTAAGAAGATTTTTCTCAATCATCTCTTCAAGATTATACACTAATTAGGCTTGTGCCGAGAATTCTGCTGCTGTAATGAAACCGTACTTCCCAGTGCAATGTTTTCTTTCAAAAAATATAGCGTTTATATTGCTCTTGTTGCTACCAAATTCTCACATCATGTTCTTTTTGTAGATTCTCATGTAATGTCGCTTAAAGAATATCTATGTTCTTCGTTTTTTATAAGAAAGCCAATATTCAGGCAGTCTTTTTTTTTCAATAAATTAAGTACATCGGCAGTGTGCAGCAACACTGAGTATTGCGTCCTACCTAGACTACTGTACCCCAGGTGGGGTACAGTAGTCTAGGTAGGACACAGTAGTCTAGAGCGGGTCACAGTAGTCTGGGTAAAGCACAGAAGCCTAAATGAGCTGCACAGTAGTCTAGGTGGGGTACAGTAGTCTAGATGGGGTATAGTAGTCTAGGTGAGATGCACAGTAGTCTAGGTAGGGTACAATAGTCTAGGTGAGATGCACAGTAGTCTAGGTGAGATGCACAGTAGTAAAGGTAGGGTACAGTAGTCTAGGTGAGATGCACAGTAGCCTAGGTGAAATGCACAATAGTCTAGGTGAGATGCACAGTAGTCTAGGTGAGATGTACAGTAGTCTAGGTGAGATGCACAGTAGTCTAGGTGAGAGGCACAGTAGTCTAGGTGAGATGCACAGTAGTCTAGGTGAGATGCACAGTAGTCTAGGTGATATGCACAGTAGTCTAGGTGAGAGGCACAGTAGTCTAGGTGAGAGGCACAGTAGTCTAGGTGGGATGCACAGTAGTCTAGGCGAGATGCACAGTAGTCTAGGTGAGATGCACGGTAGTCTAGGTGAGATGTACAGTAGTCAAGGTGAGATGCACAGTAGTCAAGGTGAGAGGCACAGTAGTCTAGGTGAGATGCACAGTAGTCTAGGTGAGATGCACAGTAGTCTAGGCGAGATGCACAGTAGTCTAGGCGAGATGCACAGTAGTCTAGGCGAGATGCACAGTAGTCTAGGCGAGATGCACAGTAGTCTAGGTGAGATGCACAGTAGTCTAGGTGAGATGCACAGTAGTCTAGGTGAGATGCACAGCAGTCTAGGTGAGATGCACAGTAGTCTAGGCGAGATGCACAGTAGTCTAGGTGAGATGCACAGTAGTCTAGGTGAGATGCACAGTAGTCTAGGTGAGATGCACAGTAGTCTAGGTGAGATGCACGGTAGTCTAGGCGAGATGCACAGTAGTCTAGGCGAGATGCACAGTAGTCTAGGTGAGATGCACAGTAGTCTAGGTGAGATGCACAGTAGTCTAGGTGAGATGCACAGTAGTCTAGGTGAGATGCACAGTAGTCGAGGCTAGATGCACAGTAGTCTAGGTGAGATGCACAGTAGTCTAGGTGAGATGCACAGTAGTCGAGGCTAGATGCACAGTAGTCTAGGTGAGATGCACAGTAGTCTAGGCGAGATGCACAGTAGTCTAGGTGAGATGCACAGTAGTCTAGGCGAGATGCACAGTAGTCTAGGTGAGATGCACAGTAGTCTAGGCTAGATGCACAGTAGTCTAGTTGAGATGCACAGTAGTCTGGGTGAGATGCACAGTAGTCTAGGTGAGATGCACAGTAGTCTAGGTGAGATGCACAGTAGTCTGGGTGAGATGCACAGTAGTCTAGGCGAGATGCACAGTAGTCTAGGTGAGATGCACAGTAGTCTAGGCGAGATGCACAGTAGTCTAGGTGAGATGCACAGTAGTCTAGGTGAGATGCACAGTAGTCTAGGTGAGATGCACAGTAGTCTAGGTGAGATGCACAGCAGTCTAGGTGAGATGCACAGTAGTCTAGGTGAGAGGCACAGTAGTCTAGGTGAGATGCACAGTAGTCTAGGTGAGATGCACAGTAGTCTAGGTGAGATGCACAGTAGTCTAGGTGAAGAGGCACACAGTAGTCTAGGTGAGATGCACAGTAGTCTAGGTGAGATGCACAGTAGTCTAGGTGAGATGCACAGTAGTCTAGGTGAGATGCACAGTAGTCTAGGTGAGATGCACAGTAGTCTAGGTGAGAGGCACAGTAGTCTAGGCGAGATGCACAGTAGTCTAGGTGAGATGCACAGTAGTCTAGGTGAGATGCACAGTAGTCTAGGTGAGATGCACAGTAGTCTAGGTGAGATGCACAGCAGTCTAGGTGAGATGCACAGTAGTCTGGGTGAGATGCACAGTAGTCTAGGCGAGATGCACAGTAGTCTAGGTGAGATGCACAGTAGTCTAGGTGAGATGCACAGTAGTCTAGGTGAGATGCACAGTAGTCTAGGTGAGATGCACAGCAGTCTAGGTGAGATGCACAGTAGTCTGGGTGAGATGCACAGTAGTCTAGGTGAGATGCACAGTAGTCTAGTTGAGATGCACAGTAGTCTGGGTGAGATGCACAGTAGTCTAGGTGAGATGCACAGTAGTCTAGGTGAGATGCACAGTAGTCTGGGTGAGATGCACAGTAGTCTAGGCGAGATGCACAGTAGTCTAGGTGAGATGCACAGTAGTCTAGGCGAGATGCACAGTAGTCTAGGTGAGATGCACAGTAGTCTAGGTGAGATGCACAGTAGTCTAGGTGAGATGCACAGTAGTCTAGGTGAGAGGCACAGTAGTCTAGGTGAGATGCACAGTAGTCTAGGTGAGATGCACAGTAGTCTAGGTGAGAGGCACAGTAGTCTAGGTGAGATGCACAGTAGTCTAGGTGAGATGCACAGTAGTCTAGGTGAGATGCACAGTAGTCTAGGTGAGAGGCACAGTAGTCTAGGTGAGATGCACAGTAGTCTAGGTGAGAGGCACAGTAGTCTAGGTGAGATGCACAGTAGTCTAGGTGAGAGGCACAGTAGTCTAGGTGAGATGCACAGTAGTCTAGGTGAGAGGCACAGTAGTCTAGGTGAGATGCACAGTAGTCTAGGTGAGATGCACAGTAGTCTAGGTGAGATGCACAGTAGTCTAGGTGAGATGCACAGTAGTCTAGGTGAGATGCACAGTAGTCTAGGTGAGATGCACAGTAGTCTAGGTGAGATGCACAGTAGTCTAGGTGAGATGCACAGTAGTCTAGGTGAGATGCACAGTAGTCTAGGTGAGAGGCACAGTAGTCTAGGTGAGATGCACAGTAGTCTAGGTGAGATGCACAGTAGTCTAGGTGAGAGGCACAGTAGTCTAGGTGAGATGCACAGTAGTCTAGGTGAGATGCACAGTAGTCTGGGTGGAATGTATAGTTATTATAATTACAATTTTTAACCATTAATGCAATGTTTTCCTCTCTATTTGGGTTTCAGTTAGAGCAATAAAATTTAACCCCCAGTAATACTGCTGCAATTTAATATTTATTATATTTGTATTTTGCAGTTAACGTAGCAGTAAAATTAATACTCAATAGTATTGTTACAACTGCAAATACTAACGAAATTATTTTTGTGTTATAATCTCATAGCAATATAGTTTACTGCTAACAATGTTAATGTCAAGGGTAAATTTAACAGTAGAATGTGTGTACATACGAATTTTCTCGTAGCATGATGACTGTTTTGTTTCAGTTGTGGTTAGACTCGGGCTCTTGGACAGAATGATTGGTGAGAAGGAAGATAAAATTAATAGTTTCTTTGTTTTGTAAATTATGTTTTGGTTTTTGTTATCTCCAATGATCGCAGATATGTTCTGTCTCACTCATTTTCCTGCTCTCTCTCTCTCTTTCTCTCTCTCTCTCTCTCCTCTCTCTCTCTCTCTCTCTCTCTCTCTCTCTCTCTCTCTCTCTCTCTATCTCTCTCTCTTCCATCCTCACAGCCTCCCGCTGTAGTCTCCTCGGCTTCACCCGTATCACTTTGTTTTTCCCATTCCGACATCCTCTCCCTCTTTCTTGCCTCTAGGTACATAACATTATTTTTTACCCTTCCATGCTTTTCTCTCCTCGTCCTGGTATCTAATAATTTCTTTACCACCACCTTAATCCTTCTCTTATTCTCTTTACTGAAACAGTACTTCTGTTCTTTTGCCCTTCCAATGGTCTGGTCATGAACGATCTACTGTTTCAGTCTGACTTTCATTTACACTGTCCATTATCATCACACTCTCTCTCTCTCTCTCTCGCACTCTACTGCACCCAGCCACAGGGTCGGAATCACGAAACATCAGTTATAGGGTTGAATTACCGGACCTAACAATAAAGTTGGAGTTGCCGAAGTGGAGATGTACCCGTGGTTGTGCCCCGAAGTTTGGTGGCAAAAGCTCTCGCTTCATACGGTTAGTGTCTGGGTTCGATTTCCGGCGAGGGTTAAAACATTGAGCGTGTTTCCTTACACCGGTTGTCTATGTTCACCCATCAGTAAAATGGGTACCTGGATATTAGTCGACTGGTGTGGGTCGCATCCCGGGACAAATTTGACCTAAACTTCCAGAAATGCTCTGCATAACAAGTGACTTTCTATATGGTAGTATGTCACTGATCTCAGCTAGGCCTGTATACCTCGTACATGCACTTGCAGAAATAAAGATATTATTTATTACTCTTTTTCCCCCTACAGCAACACCCCTCGATGAACCACTCCGCGGGTCATCATCATGTGATTAGAACTCCCGTCATAATTCGGTTTCCTAACGAAGACAGGAAATAACAGCTGGGTGTATGCTACTATTCCGTCATGTAAGCTATGTCTCGATACGACTCAAGAAATCGTAATGACACGATTGCAAATAAACCATACCCCCGGCCGGGGGTATGGTTTATTTGCAATCGTGTCATTACGATTTCTTGAGTCATGTTGACGGCAGTGAAGGGACTTGAGCTAGAGTTCGTCACGGCCACGCTAGCTGGAGATTCGTCTGTAAAAACTTGCATTTGTGGTCACAGAGGTGCCTGTGCTAACTTTCCTATGGTGTAGAAATATACCTAGTTGGATGAATCTTATTGTGGCTAGCTGGTCTAGTGGCTAACGCGACGGGCTGGAGTTTTGAGACTCTATGACCGCGGGTTCAATCCCGGCCGGGGGTATGGTTTATGTCTCGATACCACTATCTGCTTCTCCAGCTTGCTTCTTAGGTTGTGCGACATCTGAGTACCTTTAATTTTTAGACAATTTGTCCATCCATTGGTTTTATCATCATTGGATGGCGAAACATCTACAAATTAAAGAAACCCAGATGTTGCACATGTGTCTATTTCTTCATCCTGTCGGTACTGAGTACCATTCATATATTGCTTGCTAGTCTTCATTGGGGAGCGTGTGTGAACACGCACCCACGAGATGAGTTCCTGTATTCTTAATATTCACCTTGCTGACGTAGTCTAGCCATTTCCTAGTTCACTGTAAGTGTTGTTACGGTACTACCGTCTCGGTGACTTCTTTGGGTAGTAGTCGTAGTAGGTACTAAATGTTAAAAGCACTTGATAGATACTTGGCCTGTGGTGGGTTGGGTGTCTATCTGTAGTACAAAAAAGGCTATCGTTGTGACAACGTTTCTCTGGTTATATAATTGACTTGATAAAGCTCTACACAGAGCGAAACAAGACTTGAGGTTCAAGTCTTGTTTCAGAGCTGAACATGACTTGATAAGGTCTTCCACACAACGAAACGAGATTTGTTAATGTATGTTCGGAGCGAAATACAACTTGAAGCTCTACACAGAGCAAAATCTACAAAATACTGCCACAATCAAGGTTTACTTTGCACCCGTCCATTCATCAGCATCAACAGTACATACCTGAAAGCTCTGGCGAAGGAACGCCGAAGGACTCCGTCGGACGCACGCCGGACTTGTGTGTCTGGCGTAGCCATGCCTGCGGGTGGGAGCTACCACAACAACCGTCCCTGGTGTCGCTCGGTAATCTGCAGCGAGAGTTAAACGTGAGAATATTATATGAGCATTAATCATTTCTGATATGTCGTAGTATCTTATAAGCGAAAATAAGATACCAGACATATTAAGTGAATATCCTAAATTGGCTTGCAACAGGTATGACCTATTCTGACTCAAGAAATCGTCATGACACGATTGCAAACAAACCATACCACGGCCAGGGATTGAACTCGCGGTGAGTCGTAAAACTCCAGACCGACGCGTTAGCCACTGCACCACCTGGCTACACCATAGGGAGGTTAGCATAGGCACCACTGTGACCAAAAATGTAAGTTTTTACAGATGAATCTTCCGCCAGCGTGGCCATGACGAACTCTAGCTCAAGTTCCCTCAAAGCCGTCATCTTGCACTGCTGCTAAGCCTTGCAGTGCCTTGCCATATACTATTGCCCTACTGTCCATAGGATGGATCTGGAGTGCACAGTAACCTAGCCGTTGCGGTGGCACTCTGCAGTACATATCCCTAGTTTACCATGCAGCGCGTTGCTACTGGGTGACAGTGGTGATCCGAGGAGGGACATTGTCGCTCCATTTTCTCGGACCAAAAGCCCATCACCAACATTGAGAAGACAACAGGAAAACTATGTCGAGAAAATCGAGAAGTTAGATTTTGAATTCAGAAAAAAAAAATATTTGTATTACAATGGGCATACTGTCCACACCTAACACACATATTGGAGACAAAGCCAGGTACTGAGATGATTTATTGGTAGTGAGGTAGTACCGAGGTGGTGCAGAGATGATTTATTGGTAGTGAAGTAGTACCGAAGTGGTGCAGAGATGATTTATTGGTAGTGAAGTAGTACCGAGGTGGTGCAGAGATGATTTATTGGTAGTGAGGTAGTACCGAGGTGGTGTTGCTCACCAGTGTTTGTGGACGTCAGTGTACACAACAAAAAAATATTTGTAAATCTTGCGTAATATTTTGGAGGATTTGGAAACGTAACATTCTGCACTTCTTAGAAATAAACAAGGAACAATTTAACGCAGTGCTAAGGTAAAAACTTTTTTCTTACACAATGTTGAGATCAAAAGAGTCATTTTCTCAAGATGCATAAATCAAAAGGATCACTTTCTCACCTAGCATAAATCAAAAGGATCACTTTCTCACCTAGCATAAATCAAAAGGATCACTTTCTCACCTAGCATAAATCAAAAGGATCACTTTCTCACCTAGCATAAATCAAAAGGACACTTTCTCACCTTGCATAAATCAAAAGGATCACTTTCTCACCTAGCATAAATCAAAAGGATCACTTTCTCACCTAGCATAAATCAAAAGGATCACTTTCTCACCTTGCATAAATCAAAAGGATCACTTTCTCACCTAGCATAAATCAAAAGGATCACTTTCTCACCTTGCATAATCAAAGGATCACTTTTAAAACAATTCACAGACACTTCTCCACAACTCGGAAAGCAGAGAAACACTTTCATAAAGACGGGGAGATCGTGGAGGCAAGAACCGTACACAGCTTTAAGAAAAGATATGATCGATCACGTGTATACAAGGAATCAATATTCGGGGAGGACAGGAGCCGAGAAGCGCGACCAAGAGCTATGACTCGACCTCAACTAGGTTAGTAAACATTTCGGAATTCACAGTAAAAAAAATCGTACTCAGGGAATTATATAATCACTCCAGTAAATATCATCTGTTCAATGGAATACTCAAATGATAATTGGAACACTCAATCAAATAACCGTTGGATATCAATGACCGGGGAAACACGCAAATAATCAATGAAATATTCCTATCATCAACAGAACATTCAAGTTATCAATGAAGCATTCACGTCATCTTTGGAACAATCATATAATCAGTGTAACACACTATGTACTGCACTGCCAGTAAAAGATTCAGGTATATTTTTTGACTCGCCACATTATCTCACGGTATCGCATTCCGTTCCGTGAACTTGGAATACATACACACACACACACACACCCCCCAGTTACCAGAAATCGGGAAGTGAGTGAATGTAGTCTCTGTGTTTAAGAAAGGAGACAGACAAGACGTGTTGAAGTTCAGGCAAGTTTCTCTAACATGCGTACCATGCAAGGTCATGATGGAGAAGATGAATGGAGAGCTGTGAAGCACTTAGAAGTGGCTTTAGAAACAACCGACAAGGATTCAGTGATTAGTAAATCTTGTATTAGTGACCTGATGTGCTCTACGATAAACTAACAGAAGTGAGACAAAGGAGGGATGAGTGGATTGAGACTTAATTGAGGCACTAATGGACACACGATTTGAAATACGAACTGGGACACTAGGTGAGACAGAGGTTGAGACATGACTGCAAGAATGCACTTGATGTTGTATCTCATAAGAGACTGTGGCAATAGCTTGTGTTGCAAGCAGGCATAACGTGGAATGCACTTCGGTGTGGCAGACTACCTAGGGGAAGGCAGCAAACAGTGATTTGCTGGGAAGATATGTAAGAATGGGGCTAGAGTATAACAAGCGGAGTTTCACAGGGCTCGGTACTGGACCAAGTACTGTTTCTGGACTGAATCATAAATATCGCTGCTGATGTTATGAAACTAACGAGAATAAAAACATACGAGGACAAAGAGAGGCTATAAAGAGGCCTACACAAACTGCAGTATTGATCAGATAAGCTACTGCTTGAATTCATCCTCTTCAAAGGCAAGGTCATGAAGGATGGGGAAGGGACTAGAAGATCAGACACGGATTATAGACCCAGGCCACGGAGGCTGCAGACCTCACTCAAAAAGGAAGACCCAGGAGGAGTGAACTTTGTGCTCTCCTGGCAAATCTATCAGTAGCCGTCAGGAATCTTAAGAAAAAGTTATTTCGGATTCTTTATCCAGCCTGAAACCCACACCTTGCAAAGTATATTATAAAACTGGAGAAAGTAAAGAGGCATGCAACGAGGCTTGTTCCAGAGCTAAGGGGAATCAGTACTAGGAGAGACAGTTGGAATTAATCTGACAACACTGGAGAATAGAAGAACCTTGAAGACATAGCAACTTTTATAATACTCAAAGGAACTTATAAGGTAGACAGGGATAGGCTGTAAGAAGCGGGAAACAGGTACTCGGAGGCATAACCGGAAGTTACGGAGATAAACCTCAAGGATGTCAGGAAGTATTTCTTTAGTCTCAGGATGATCAGGAAGTGGAGAGACCTCGACGAAGAAGTGGAGGTGACAGGCTTCACATATAGTCTTAACAGTAGATGCGATGAGGCCCATGTGGCAAGAAGGGAGTGAATCTAGCAAGTGGCAACTTGAACGGTGGGGACAGGAGCTAGTACTCGACCCATACAGTCACATATACGTGAGTACATTATAAATATACACACACACAAAGGCTCTTTAGAACTGATATTTATTCAATGTATGTAGAAACATCAGGAAACAATTGCTGCAATCATTATATGTATATTCCTATTTTATCAAATATTCTATTAAAAATGTTATTTCCGTTAATAGCTAAAGCGAAAATATCGTGATTAATAGTATCATCTGTCTTGTATATTTAGCAACATTGATAGGGAGGATGTACCACACAACCTACACTTTGTGCTAGCACATTCGAAAGTTTTGATTGGCTGTCTTCCCTGCTACACTGCTTGTTCATTTGTTTGCCTCTGGGACGCGAGGCAAGCCAAGAAAGCATCTGATCTTGCACCTGCAGCCACCGCTTCATTATCTTTTCCTGGCTGGGCAACATTGAGGGTAACACCTCTCCTCTCCACTCTGGGAGAACGCTCTTCTATGCTGTTATGTACTCATGTATTCATTAGTGAGCTAGAAAATTCATCTCGTACTCGGTGCAACTCTGTGAACAGTTTTATTTAGAATAAGGATTTTTTGACATGTTCTGGTGTCGTGAGATACCGAGCCTAGACCTAACTTGTTCTGACCGGCATCTATGCACTGCCGTAATAGGAGTTCGGAAACTGCTGAACTCAGATTTAGAAACTTTGACGTTGTTTTTGCCTTATATGGAAGACATATCGGTTTTCTCCAGTCAGGGTCGCTTCTGTGTCGTCTCCTTCCTTGCCCGAGCTGTGCTGCTCACCGCTCTTTGTGCATTCATCTGTTTGGCGAACTGGTCACTTTATTGTTCAAGCAAGTTGAACGGTTAGTTCAAAGTTAGTCTGTTGTTCTTACTATCATCAGTCACGTTCTCTGTCAAGTCTTGCTGAGAGCACTAAGCGCGTTAAGACAAGCCCAGTGTGGCATGGGATGATTGGTCTTGAATTTTTAGTAACGACTTGTTACAAAACCAGAAACCGGCTAGATGCTAGAGTGGGATTAATGAATTGACCTGTTGGTATCCTCTAGTACATATCTATGCAAACAGATGCCGCATATAAAAGAGTAACGATATATGACGAGAGAGAGAGAGAGAGAGAGAGAGAGAGAGAGAGAGAGAGAGAGAGAGAGAAACAGACAGAAAGCGATGGGAGACACAAAAATAAGTTACAGAAACAAATGAAATGAGAGCAAGAGAGAGGAAGAAGAAATGTAGCACACTGTGATGGCATGTTAAGACTATCAAATCTTCCATTTGACAGTCTACTATTTTGCACCATATACCTGAGCCAAAGTCTCAGTTTGGTTGAGGAACCATACAAACATTAGCTTTAGATATAAAGTTTACAGTCTCCCGAAAAATAAAAGATTTTTTATGCATTATCATAAGAAAAACCTCTTTTCAACATATTTATCTCATGACGATTCTGACACCTGTTATGATTCATGATGTGAATGCTTATGAATTCTTTCCACTGGCACTTGATGCCTCGACAAAGGGAGACCATGAATCCTCAGTTTCTCAAGGAAAACCTATTACCAGCCATCTGTTACTCAAATTTCAATAATGCGAGTGTGCGTGAATTATTTTGTCATAACCCTGTCAGACATGATGCATGAAGCTCCTGTTATTGTTTACCTTCCTCCGGCTGAAGGATGAGGTTAGTACACACGCACCCACACATACATGTATGTGTACTTGAGCAAACATACACACACATGCAAAAGCAGGTATGCGTAATTATAAGAATATTGAATATTCTGTAAGCAAGGGATGCGTTAGTGTTTACTACAGGGTGTAGCTAACTATTGTGTTGAGGTTTGAGTGATAAAGTAGGCTCGAATCCTTCATGGCCCAGCCTAGACTTTAATATATATGTCGTGCCGAATAGGTAAGGTTGGTCAATTAGCAAGAACGTATTTAAATTATGTCCTTTCTAAAAGTTTCTCTTATTCGTTTGAAGATAAATATTTTTTCATTTATATTATTGTAAAAATTAATAATTTTGTACCAAAGGAACCTAGAAAACTTACCTAACCCTATTAAACAAGCAAATTAATTTGCCTAATTCAACAAATATATTTTAAAAAATTTTTAAAAAAATTTCATACACAATTTTTTCTTGATTTTATTAGGAGAGAAGAGAGTTGCTTTTTAACCCAAAAATCGCATACGATATATATATATATAAAATATAAAAATTATATATATATATAATTATATATTATATAAAAATTTTTAAAAATTTTATAAAAATATATAAAAATATATATATATATAATATATAAAAATATTATATATATTGTGGGTGTGTGTGTGTGTGTTTGTGGTGTTGGGGGGGTTGGGTGTGAATATAATGCAGAGAATTCGTATTTTGGGGAATTAGGGAGGTGCGGGTTTAAACCAAAACTTTGTCCAGAAGGCTGGGGAAGGGTTGTTGAGGGGGTTCGGACATGTGGAGAGAATGGAGCAAAACAAAAACTTCAAGATGATCATTGTGTGGAAGGAAGGGGGGGTGGGTCGGCCTAGGAAAGGGTTTGGGGGGGGGGGGTAAAGGAGTTTTGTGGCGAGGGGGTTGGACTTCCGCAGGGATGCGTGAGCGTGTTTGGGAGGAGTGAATGGAGACAAATGGTTTTTTATATTAAGTGCTGTTGGAGGGGTGAGCAAAGTAACTTTTTGAAGGGGTTTTGGGAAAGGGGGGACTTGATCCTGGAGAGGGGTCGGGCCTGCACTCTGAAGGAGGGGGGGTTTTTGCTTTAAAAATGTAGTGTAAGCCCCCCGGGAAAAAGGATGGTGTGTGGTGAAATTTTTTTTTGGGCCACCCCCCGGGGTCGGCCAGGGATTTTTTTTTTTTTTTTTTTAAAATTTTTATTTTTTTTAATTTTTTTTTATTTTTTTTTTTTTTTTCCTTTTTTTTAATTTTTTTTATTAAATTTCTAATTATTTTTAATTTTATATTTAATTTTTTTTTTTTTATATTTTTTTAAAAATTTTAATATATAATATCCATTATATATTTATAATATATATTATAATATATAATTTTATATTTCCATATTATATATATAATTTTTAAATATATATAAATATATTAAATTTTTAAAATATATTATATATATTATATCCAAAAATTTTTTTAAAAAATATAAATTTATATATTTTATATATATATATATTAAAAATATCCATTATATTATATATATTAAAAATATATATATATCCACATATATATTAAAAATAATATTATTTAAAAATTAAAACTCCATATTAAAATAACAGTGGACCCCCCGGTTAACGAACTTTTTTTATTCCCGGTATGTTTATTAGTAGACATTTGGAGGTGACATTAAGCGGGGGGGCCCACTGTATTATATATATATTATATATATATATATATATATTAAAAAAATATTATATATATATATATTATTTTATAAATATTGTGTATCCATATATAATATATAAATAATATTATATATAAATTTATAAATCCCTATATATATATATATATAAAAACCATATATATTATATATATAAATATTATAAATATAAATATTGTAAAATAAATATATATTTATATATTAATTATATAATTTTATATATATATAACCATACACATATATATATATAATAATATATAATTAAAAAATTTTTATTTAAAATTTTATATATATATATTATATAAAAATGTATATATATATATTATATATATATATATATATATAATTTATATATATTATAATAATATATATAACCATATTATATATATATTAAAAATAAACCATATATATATAATAAAATATATATATATATATATTTTATTATATATATATATATATATAAAATCCCTAATATTAATATATATATATATTTAATATTATATATATTTAATATATAATAACCATAATATATAAATAATTCCATATATATATATATATATAAAAATCAATATATAATTTTAATATATATAAATTTTAAAATTTTTTATAATATATAATTTAAAAATATATATAAATATATATATTAAGTTATATAATATTAATTATAAAATATTATATATAAATATACCATATTTATATAATTTTAATAATTTTAATATAAAATTTTTAATATATAAATATATATTTAAAAATTTATCCATATATGTATATATGTATACATATAAAAAAAATTATTATATATTTTATATATATGTATATATAATAATTTTTTACCATTATATATATAATTAAAATTTTTCTATATATATATAATACAAAAATTTTATCCAAAATATCTAACATAATATATATATTTAAAAATATATATAAATATATAATTTATATATATAATATATATTATATATCCATATAATAATATATTAATCCATAAATATATATATATTTATATCCTTAAAAATTAAATTATATTTTTTATATATATATAAATATAAATCAAAACAACCACTCGAAAGAAAGGAAATTCCAACCCCCTTTCGTGACTACTCCATTATCGGAACTATGAAAGTAAAGCATCCCAAGGGAAACATATAAGGGGGCGGTCGGGACCTCACTATCAGATCCCCAACGGTTTAAACAGGACCGCGGCAGCCAACTTGGAAAGGTCCTTGGCACAACCACCCCCACAAACTATTCTACCCAAGAAATAAGAATTTTTTAAAGATTATTTTTGGTCCAGTGTATTATTAAATTCATCCCAAATTCTATTAATTATAAACGGGAGCTTAGTTTATATAAACCAAAGGAAATATTCATATTATTTGTCAAAACCTGGCTTTTTAAGAATCAAGATTCAATTATATTCCTGTCGACCATGGACTTGCTTTGATACTACATTTCTCAACTTTTTGAAAATCAATTGGATGGTAAAATCTTCTTACATGAATAAATAGATTGATTTTCAAAAAGTTGAGAAAGTAGTATCCAGCTAT